ATAATCTAAAATATTTTAGTAAATCAGATATAATTTACAAGATTCAATTATTGTTGTTGTTTTATTTTACTGTAAATTGAAAGATCTTTATAAAATATTTATGAAACATCTTAGATTTTTAAATTAAGGAACACAAAGACTGGACCTTAAACGTCCCTTATTGGCAGAAGGGTTTGCATTAAGTCTCGTCAGAAGTTATACTTTAATATAAGACTTGATACAAGAGATGTCTAAACGACTGCAGAGCAAATGACTGAGAAGAAGGAAGGGGAAGTTCTGCCAGACTGAGGGGGTTTCACATCAGCCAGCCGCCCCCGTGTGCTCCACGCGCTCTAAACTGCTTCTCTCCAGATGTTGCAGCTCGCAGACATGAGCGGACAGCTCGAGGAAACGCTACTGTCATGACGCGCACGGATTTAAATCCTAATCAAACTTTTTAATTTTGTTTGGACGCTGATCAGCTGTTTCCAGACCGCAGAGATGGAGTACTGGAGGCAATGTGCGATGTGGCTGATCGGCTGCAACGTCCTGCCGGCGAACCACCGGGTCACCGCGGACACGGCTCAGGTGTTCGACCTGGCGCAGACCCTGCGGGACGGGGTCCTGCTGTGCCAGCTGCTCAACAACCTGAAGCCTCACACCATCAACCTGAAGGAGATCAACCTGAGGCCGCAGATGTCCCAGGTACTGTAAGCTGATCTTTACTAGGCTGCTGGTTGTAACGCGCGCAAAGGAAGTGTAAGAAACAATCACACTTAAAATAACTGTTTAAATTAATTTAAAGTTTTAATGTCAAACATCTTAAGTCACTTTGGATTAGCTTCCCTAATACATATATGCAGCAAGAAATTTTGTAATTTCTGCAGATGGGGTCAGATAAAAAAGGGCTATTATAAAGAAAAACAACTATACAACCATTAATATATATATATATATATATATATATATATATATATATATATATATATATATATATATATATATATATATATATATATAATTTTGATTAATTGTTAATTGGAATCATCATCAACTGATTTATTAATCGATCTATCGTCAACTGCAATATAGAAACTCTAAAGCATGTCTATAGCTGACAGATCAACCCACTTAAAGTAATAATTATGCAAAGATTATAAAAAATAAAGCTTGAATTCTATATTTCAAACATTTTTCTCTGCTAAATTTGAAGGTTGTGACTCAATATCCAAATGAAACCCCAAATTAAGTTGCTCAAAAATATTTGACTATAAAAAGAAATTCAAAACAATTATAAGAGAAATGTAAATGCAGTTATGGGGTCTGTAGATTCATGGAAAATAAGGTTAAATGAGAAATCATGGTCAACTTTCAGTATATAGGGCTGGCTAAAGAGGGATTAGTAAGGGGTTGTCAGTAGTGGCTTTTTAAAGGTCTGTAAGTATGACAGATTTTAAGTGCCTAAATATCATACTGAGATCAGCTGATCTGAAATACTTCCTTTATCCGGGACAAGGTATAAAGGAAGATATGTAGTTTATGATCTAAATAAGGAATCCTTTTATCATCGGAAGGTGGAGACCGGAGGTCACACACATTAAAAAGAGGGGCAGAAAAATAGAAAATACATCATAGAATTATAATAATATTAAAGTACTTTTTATGCAGGTTAACATAAAAAAACATCCACATTAAGCTTGGTTAAACAAGAAATACTCATTAATTTTAAATTTTTTCCTCAATGTAGCTTTCCTAAATTAGTTGATTTCTTTTGTGTGTTGCTGAACTGTCTTGAGACAGATGCATTCATTATCAGAATTGTTGTTGGGGGCTGTTTATAGTGGTTTAAATTTCTAAATCTGTAACATTCATTGAGGTTTTTTTGCAAAAGTCAGATGCAATGAAACTTTCCTTGGCCTTCTTCTTACAGCCACTGGAGAGGTCTGATAAAATCCTGACTTTGATCCACCCCTCAGTCAGGAAACACGTGCCATTTGTGCAGCGGCAACTTGTTTGCTTGAGAAAATGTTTGAAGCCAAATAAAAAATACTTCTTTACATACAGGGTATGAAGTAAGTTTTAAGCACAATAACATTTAGGAGTTTATTTGGCTGTTGGTGATGACGGTCTTGTGTCAAGAATTTGCTGTTTTGTTTTCAAGAATGAAGTATGAGATAAATTCCTCTATTTATTCTTCCTTCACATTTATAAAGCCTGACAGCTTTATAAATAAGATGTTTTTAAAATAATGTGATGTTTTACCCTCCAAAGTGATATGATATGATATTCAAAAAGTGTAATTTTGATCAAATTTTCCCAGTATTTCATAGGCTTATCTAAATCCACTTCAGCACACTTTAAAATAGCTTCACAGAAATAGCTTCAAAAGAGGAGTCTTGTGCAATTAGCTGGAAAAGAGGCAAATGCACCTGAAAACAAAACTGTTTTAGATGTTTAAAAAGCTGGCAGAAATATTACAAGGACTACCTGGTCACACTTTTAGAGGACGCAATCTGCTCCAAAAATAAAATCAGAGCATAGTGGTGAGGAAAAAAAAATTTCAGTGTATACAGATAATTGATATGTTACTTCATGACCTAATATTAAGGAATGAAGAGGACGGAAATGAGAGGCATATTAGGATGGCACCTGGACAGTTTATTGTGTATAACATATACGTATAACATGAAAAGAAAGAAATTTGTTTTTAGAAATTACTAGATATTTTGGCCTCGTGGTTAGAGCAGTGCATGGGTGCTCTTAGAAGGTTGCAAGTACCCTTTTCGAATCCCCCAGCATACACTCTAGGTCTCTGAGCAGGACCCTTAACCCCCCAATGCTCCCCGGGCGCCACATAATGGCAGCCCACTGCTCCCCAAGGGGATGGGTTAAATGCACAGAGGGAATTTATCTAGTGTGAGATCAATAAAGTTCAATTATTATTATTATTTGACAAGATCCATATGCAGGATGTTTTAACTTTAAAGACAATCTTTTTAATTTAAAGAGACAAAAAGCAATATTGTATGTTTTCGCAAGAAGGTGGAAGTAAATGCTATAAATCTGAATCTTGTCAAAGTTGAAAAGCTTAGGTGATTCTAACTAAAAACTATGAAGAATCTGTAATCATTACAAAACATGGAAAATCTAGGATTGCATGCTACATGAAAATCTTTAGATTCATGCCTCCTTGAAAATATGGATTTCCAATCTTCACAGGTTACAATGAGACTAAAACCAAGTGACTGGATTACAAGCATGCTGTTTCCTAAAAAAAAACAAAAAAACCCCAAAAAGTAGCAAAAGAGAGCGATATGTGTTTGTGGAGGGATGGGGGGTCATTATCACTCCACTTGTAATTGCATTTTGGCCTTTAGAATCATGGATAAATTATTTGTCCTATAGATCCTTACGTCTGTTTGAGAAGTTTTAAAAATACGTTTGTTACCACTTTTATCTGTGTGTTTTGCAACAGTACTATAGAGCTGGCATAGGCCTTAACACAGCTCTTTGTTTTTTTTTGTATGTAATGAAAGGGAGAGACTATTTTTGAAACTATCATTTGGGAGTAAATCAGTTGATATTTGTCCTTCACTGTGTTAAAGATTCTTTTCCCTGAAAAGAGATCACTCGGGACAAACTCTTTAAATAACACTTTATAATTTATATTTATTAAATTACCAGGAGACATGACAACAGATTCTGATAGAAATTGGTGATTGGTAGCTGCATTGCATTTTGGATAGTTTCGAATTTCACAAACACTTCTCACTTTTTGCTCTGTATTGGCCATGTTTTCGTCCCAACATGATCAAAATCAACAAGCAATATAAATGCATATTCTGACAAACTCAAACAAAGCCAGGTTGTTTAATATGATCCCAACTCATTCAAACATATTGCATTCTTAATATTTGCTAATAGCTTTTAGGGCGCTATTTGAATTTCATTCACAGTCACATGAACAGGAAACTTTAGAAGTGGTAAAGTGTTCTAAGAGTATGACGCTCTGGTGCAGCAAACATATCATAAGGTATCATAAAAAGGAAATACAAGGAAGTGCATCTAATAATAACTTGCGTATGATTAGTTGATAAAAAGAGGCAAAAACAGTTAAGTTTTACATCCAATTAGAACAAATAAAGGGGAAAATAATTAACCTTGAATTCCTTTCTTAGTGGGGTTATATGAGATACTGTTTTCATGACCGAATTTTAATCTTTATAACTATGAATTGCTGTGAGTGGTGTATGACCCGTCTGCTTCATCTAGGTCCTTTATATCTTGTTCACAGGCTTTTAAAGAGAACCCAAAGTAAAAAGAGCCAAACAAAAGTCCTGTGTCCTGCAGCTGTAGGTCATATGAGTGTATAGCTAAGAGAGGCATGTGTGTCATTGAGCTCCAGATTCGCAAATGGCATTTTCATTGTTCTCCCTCCTATTTGGCAACAATTAAATTCAGCAGAAAAGGGATGGACGGTGTTAAGGATGATGAATCGGTTCAAGTCGATTAGGAAATTAAAATATACTGTGAAGTTAAAGTGTTACTGAGAGGTTTTGGTGAATTATTCGGCGATCAATACATTTCACCAGTCTTTTGTACAAAGAAATCCGAGTAAAATGTAGAAATGCAGAATACAGATATATAGGAAATGCATTGCCTTTGTAAATCACGGCATGCACTGCATACCAATCAGTAGCATTAAATACAGTTGAAACCAACTCTTACATTTTATTTACCCCCTCAATATTTCATCCACAGTGCTAAATATATCAACCCACAGTAGCTTTTTAAAGATAATTCACCAAATAATCTGTAGTTGTTTCTATTTTGTTCTACTGGATTTAGACAACAAACTGCGCAAGAGCTGTGCCTAAACATAGAAGTATGCGGCTGTTGCTTGTGCAAAGACTTTGTGTTTCAAACACTTCCTCTGCAGAATACCAGGGCCCCCAGGGGGTGGTGGAGTGATTACAGGCGTCTCCACGATGAGCCGATGAGATAAAACAGCCTATCTGTACTCAAGAATCTTCTGCTTTTGCATTTGAAGAGATTGAGTAATAACTGTTAGAAAAAAATAAAAAGGCATCAGAAAATGAGTTAATTTTTATATTATCAGAATTAATACAAATATATGTTTTAGTACAATACAAAATGTGTATATAATTTAAACAAAATGTCCAAATTCCTGAAATTATAAATCATAACCATGACCTGCCTTCTCCGTGACACTTTAGATCCTCGTAGGAAGTGACACCAGAAATGGCTTGAGCTTGAGGTTTCATTTCATGATGATAAACCTTTAGTTTTCACTTTCATTTTGGAGATCTTGATGCTTTGATGATCTCTATGACAGTTCAGTTTATTTTACCAGGGCAGGTCTAACTTCATTTTGTATGTAAGATTATTTGAACCTAATTAGAAAAAGAAAGATTTTTTTTCACTTGAAAGCTGAAAACACTTTATCCAGACAGACTTTTATGTATTTTGTATAACAGAATGACATAAGGTATAAAATAATATTAAAAATAAAGGAAAAATAAACACAAAACTGTCTAAATTCAAACAAACTTTGAAAAAAAGCCTTCTTTACTCTAAATATTTGAAATTAAATAGAGTGCATCCAACTGCCTTTATAGGCGGATTAATGAAAATAGGATTAAATAACAGAAATTAATTTTATATGTAAGGATTTTTTTATTCTTAATTGCCTGAAATGAGCACAAAGTTTAATGTGTAGCGATAAACATGAGAAAATTATTGACAGAATGTGGTTTTCACATTGAGTCATGAAAAGCAAGAAGCAGAAGATTTCATTTAATTTTCTAGTCTGATTCATGTTATGAAAAACCAACACCTTCATTGTGGAGTTACAGTGTAAAAGTTTCTCCACCTCAGCCTCAGAAAGTAGAAGTCGCAAATTACTAAACAAGTTTAACTTATTAAAATGACAATATTACTATAATTTTTGCTGTATATACGGTTTGTTTTAAACAATATCCGATCTGATTCAGCCTGATGGCATGTATATGTAAATTATTCTGCTGATTTTCTATATAACTCTGTGATAGTTTTAAAAAGTACTGAACATTGATAGAAATGGAAAGTGATCTTTAAAAGCAAGGACACTCACAAAGCAACTGAAACTCGGGTGAAAGAGTTCACTGGAAATGCTGTTGATTCTAATTATGAGAAACTTCAATTTACTCAGAATTTCAGATTTACAGTTTTAAATAAGCATCTAATAAGAATTCGATCCTAGCATGGGTTAAGAAACATGTTTAAGACATTAAAAGAATTTACAATTAAATGCAAGAGTACAGGTGGAATGTGTATTTTCATAATTTATATTGATGGATGTCATTTTTTTCTTCTTGTAGTTCTTGTGCTTGAAGAACATAAGGACTTTCCTGTCCTCTTGCTGCGATACGTTTGGGATGAAGAAAAGTGATTTGTTTGAAGCCTTCGATCTTTTTGATGTCAGAGATTTTGGAAAGGTAAGAAAACCACTTACCATTCTATCTGTCTGCTGCTCTATCACTCAGCCGGTCTCTGTCCCATGCATGAGGAGTTCAACCTCTCAGTGATTTAGAGATTTTCCAGTCTTTTACAACATAAAAAAGTACACAAAGATTTAACAGTAAATCTGTTTCTAAAGTAAATTTGTGATTAAAAGATAAATAAATATATTTAAATTAGGGATGTACTGTTATGAGCCTTCGGACACGGTGAAAAACCAACCGCAGTGGTGACATTGCTTCTCACCTTCAGTTGCAACCACAGTTCTGAGCTGCACCACGATCACTGTGATGTGACACGATATTAACGCTGCTGCTATATCGAGCATCTCCATTTAATAAATAAATAAATACCTTTCAGTGTTTAAAATGTTTGATGTGCTGCTACCAACCAGTTGTGATCTGCTGTTTTTGAGATGCACATCTTCCTGAAGACAAAAAAAAAAGACACAAAAGTTTCTGCATTGTTAACTATATTTTGCCAGGCTTCACCTGTCCAAGCCATGGATTAAAAGAGTGTGGGATTTATTGAAGGGAATGCGACTTTGACCAAACTATAAGATTTTAAAGTTCATATTTTAGACATACAATTAATAAAATGGGATACTTCTTTGGGTAATCATCATAGATCAAGCGTTTAAAAAATTCTGAAATCCCTAACTTTTTTTTTTTTGGGGGGGGGTGGTTAACAAAAAAATATACAGCATTTCAATCTGAAAAACTCACATGAAGAGAAACGACAACTAGGAGAAATTTATTGGTACAATTACTTTGTCTTTGGCACTCAGACCTCGGCAGGAAATATAGCACTTAATTTTGATAGATATGCATGAACAGGAGCAAACAATAGGACTGTTTCCCCCCAGGCCTGAAACTGGTGGTGGAGTGGAGATAGATGAAGTTGGTCAGTCTGTAGACTGATGGTTACTGAGATGGTATGCTGAGCTTTATGGGAAGATCCAGTGGATAACAAAGGTTGAAAGAACCTGTCCATGATGAGCAAAGCATGAAGCGATAGTGGAAAGGAAAAACTCCCCGTTGGGAGGAAAACCTCTGGCAGAACCAGGCTAAATATGGCGGTCTTCTGCTGGACCGGTTGAGATGACACAGGGAACGCAGTAGGGCTGCAACAACGAATCGATAAAATCAATAAAAATCGACTTTTAAAAGCGTTGGCAACGAA